TTTCAGTAGCCAGAGCTAGGTAACATGTATGTGTATACATACATACCTGTCTGTTTCTCTGTTTCTGTATATATGTGTTTGTTTATACAACTATGAGTAATATATTATTTGATACCTGCAATTCTGATCCAGTACCACAGAGTTCATTGCAACTTTTCCCTTTTCCAATGGTGGTGAGTTTGACTTCCATTATCCTCAAGATATTTACTTATTTGCTCAGTCCTAGAATACATAATAAGTAGACTCAGAACTTCTAAGATACAGCTGTGAAAAAGCAAACCTACTAACTAAAGTTCAGTATTTGTATGTAGGGTTTTTTTTGCCTTTAGTTTTAGAGCATATAGTAAAAAGCCTGTGTCTTAGAATACTTGGGTTAGTTCTATTTTTCTCCTTCCGTGTAATTTTGGTATTCATTAAAAAAACTGACAGGGTTGTTTTTTCTTTTTTTGGTTTCTGTTTGTAATTAATTTGGAGTTTTCCACCATCCTTGTTGATTTTACTTACAATTTCTAGTAATCTTTGGAATATGAAATTATACTTGTTTCAATCAAAAGTTAATTTAGAACTGCAAGGAAAAAAAGGGGAGTGTGTGGAAGAATTAATGAATGGCTACTTTATTTTGATAAATAAGGTTTAAGGTTTATACAGTCTGATTGGGGAGTTCGATTACATGCATTGTGTGTACATACAGTTTACACTGCTTTGCTTTTTAACTTTTTTTTCACTTAAATGTTTTATCTTAGAGATGGTTCCATGTCTGTACATAGAAATCTGTCTCATTCTTTTTAAGAGCTGTGTGGTATTCCACTATATGGATGTATCACATACACCAGTTTCTATTGATGGGCATTTGGGTGTGTCCAGTCTTCTGCTACTACAAAACAAAGATGTAATAATTATCTTTTTATATACACTGCTGTGTACATGTATAATTACATCAGATCACTTTTATATTGAAAAGGAAATTAATAAATCCTATTTTTGGGGAGGGGAGCAGCTTAGCAGTTGGATGTTGCAAAAGCTTTATATGTAGGTAAGTTATTTTTTAAGTATTTGACTAAGTTACCAATTTCTAAGTTATAATTCCAGTTGAAACATCAAACAATACATTTAAAAATATTTTAGTTTTTCATAAAATAATTACTATAACAATTCACAGGAAAATTGCTAGTTAGCTGTATGCTTTACTAAACCCTGTCATAGCTATTAAAATTGATACTTTTGATTTAAGTCTGTCATTTGTGATGTGAAAAGGAAATGAAAACACTGCATGTTGTCTTAGAACAAAGTCAACTTTTTATTGTTTGCTATCCACCACAGCCTGTAAAGACTAAAGAAACCTAGAAGGAGGTGTAAATGTACATACACTTTGGGTGTGTTTCGTAATAAACCAAATGCATCTTAAATCTTTGTACTACTTATCCAGATAAGACTGGAGAAAATTATTTTACTGTTTCATAGTATTATCTAGAATAATGAATGAAGCTCTCAGATACCTATGTCATAGATTATCCAGCCCTATTCTGTTTTTCTTGCTGAGTTTACATTTTGACTGCCTCTTTGTACTCAATGCTATAAGGGGTTTAGGGTCATGGGGAGGAAGTAAAAGTCATGTACCTCATATGATGGGTATTTTTGTCCTCAAATGACCTCATTATTGGTTTTTAAACCTAGCTTCCCAGAATCTTTTATGCGAGTTAATTTTAATTAACTTTGCAGATGATAAGAAATTTGTAAGGGAAATTTAGATTTCTTAAACTCATGAGTAACTTCTGCTGTATTATTCCATTTTGCACAGTGCCTTGGTAACCTAGCCAAGGATTTCAGGCCTCCTAGTAGTTCTCCTCAGATCAGGAGCTGGAAGAATGAGGCCTACTTTTGACCAAACATAGATCAGAAAGAATTGGTTTCAGCTGGTTGATAGGAAAGTTGGGGGGGCTGCAGCAGCGGAATCTCTCTGCAATCAACATGGAGCGTCAGCATTCCTTGAGGTAACAACAGGTTGCACATGGATTCTATTCCAGTGATAAAAATCAAAGAGTAAATTTAATGGGACAGACTATATCTAAAAAAATTAGTGTATGCTTTTTGATTATACACACGTTTTCTCTTATCTCACAATGTCATTTATATAATTAAATTCAATAAATTTGTTTTTAACAACAGGTACTCATTAAAGTGCTTGGGATTTGATTTCCAGAAAACATCAGAGCAGGAAAATGGAAGAAAAAGTGGTCTTTGGTTTTTATGTTTTTTTAGTATTCAGAGAACACTATTCAAGGCTGTAGTATATTTAGAATTGATCATTTATCTTTGTCTACTTAACAGTAAAACAAAAGGATAGATGATTACTAATGTTTTCTGGAAGATATATTGCTATTACTTTTTTTAACTTTAGTGAGTAAGACTAAGTTTTAGAGCTGTATTCTTATTAAATATATTAAATTAAGCAAGATTTAATCTAATACCGAAATAATTTATCTCCTCCTTTAAAACTTTCTGTGCGGTAACATTCCCCTATATTCTTTCTTATACCTCCTAAATCTCTTTCTAATATCATTAATTATTTTGAGCTTTTGTTTTTTTTACAATTTCTTTCAGCATTCTCTGCTATTTTTTGCAACTTATTTCAAAATATCTTGTTATAATTATATAATATTGATATAATTCTAAGGTACCATGGTGAAGCTTGAGCTTTCCAGTAGTTAGCATTCTGGTATACCTTGGCTTCTCTTATATCTACATTAGAGAAGGAAGCAGAAAAAGATAGTAAAGTCTTTCTGGCAGTGGAGAAGTAATAGTTCCTAAGTATCCAATAAAAAGGATATAGCCAGAAGAGCCAAAGACCTGAAGGTTAATCTGGACACACCATACTCTACTCGTTTTTCATGTTGAAGGAAAGGAGTACTCAGATTGGCTGGTGATGTCTCGCAGGCCCTTCATTTGATGTGAAAGCTGAAAAGTGGGAGAAGAGATAAAAGTGACAGGGAGAAAAGGGACCTCAGCAGCCTTGATTATTGGTACAGCCATGGTTAATAGAAGAAGCTGTTAGATCCTTAAGCAGCCTGTATTCTAGCAGAGCAAAGAGAGCCAGTGATAAAGAGATCAACTCTGTTCTCTGGATAGGCAGAAATTCATTTGATACCATTGAGGGTTTAGAGTATCTCTAAGGAGTGGAGGTAAGATGGCATTGCCCATAGCTAGGGATTAGGGAAGGGATAAGTGGCTACTAGAGCTTGAGGAATCGTATGTGGGAGATAAATGGACATGGAAGGAGGTGGACTGTGAAAGATAGGTACAAACAGGTACCTCTCAGTAGTTCTTTAGGGAGCCACTCTGAAGATACATTAGTATAGAAGTCAGCATTTTGGAAGGGCATTAAGTAATGATATAGTAAAAGCAGTGTCCTGTACTTCACACAGCCTGTAAGATTTATGTCTCTGCCATCATGTTTCCTAGTGAGAATTATGACAATAAAGAAAATGTTCAATTATATCACCTTGTTAAAATGGTTCTTTGAGTTGGACCTCTGTGATTCTTCTTTTTCATTTTAATCTTTTTTCTCTTCAATTTTATAATTGAGGGAAAACTTTGAGAAATTATTCTTTATACTCTTTTAAGAGGTGGAGAATTATATAGAACATCTTAGATTTGTGTTAAAAAAAAGAATGGTAAATGGGTAAAGGGCCAACCTTCAGCTATCTGGAAAACTCTACAATGCAGACTTTCCCAGTAATCTTCTGGCATTCTCTCCCTCTTCTGCATGGAGTGTAGAGTCGCCCTCCAGGCTGTGTGCATTACTTTTCAGCATGTAGCTTTGGCAGCAAAGTATGGTCTGTAACTAAGAAGGGCATCTTTTGTTTCTGTGGCCTAGGCCAAATTTCCTGTCTTAGTTATTTTCTTGGGGGCTGGAGTGTTCTACAGTGGATAAGGCATGGGTAGTTAATTAGACATTATGGACTCTTTGCTCCTCCTCAGAACTTGGTAATTATTTTTGCACTATTTAAATATGAAAATATCCAATTAGTGACTGTTGATTCTAATGTTAACCCAAAATATAGAGGCTCATTGTGAGTTGAAATAGCTCCATCTTCCCAACGAAGTATTATGGTCCTTTTAAGGATCTTGTGAGGGGCAGTTAGGAGCCTTTTGATGTAGCACTTTTTTTTGGTGTTAATGCTTATAAAAGTGTTCTTTGATTTGTATTTTCAGGAAATAAGTGAGCTGATTTACAACAGGGGGAAGTATGAGCCAGATTAGCTAGTTCCTCCTGAGGAACAATAAGAATACTTAAGAGCATGCATCAATCAATATGCACTCAAGTAGTAAGCTTTATGTATGTTCCAGGTACAGTTTACCTTACTGATATTAGTAAATTATTCAGATTTCCTGCAAAATTATACATACTTGAATTTTATGAGAATATGCTTATTTAAAGATTTATTGTCTGCCATATTGCACTAACACGGAATTAATTTACAAATAATATTGACCTGCATCACTCAATTCCTATCCCAAGTAACTTCTATAACTACTAACGCTTTTTTCTTTTGTTTGCAATTAAAATCTATTGTAATTTTAAAAATTAAAAAATACATATGCAACCTGATCTAAAAAATAATCTGGGTGAACTTGATGCAATGGCAGTTAAAGTGGCAGGGATTACATTAATTTTTTATAGGTAATATCGGCAGTTCTGGTTTCCTGGTACTCTCATTGTTTAATATACTCAAAAGCCCCTGAAACTTTGACCAGAGGATGAGGGTGGTAAACCTAATTGTCATATTTTCCCAAATGAAGATTGTAGTTGTTTTTCTTTTATGGGGATGCATTGCTGGTTTGCTTCTTTTAATAAATCTAAAATCAGTTAAAAATTCTAGAAATAAGTATCAATGAACGTAACACAATGTAGCTATCCTATGTGTGACAGTATCTAATAGAAAGGATGATCTTTCATTTTCTTCCTCATCCCTTCTCATTTCCCCTTTTTGTTTTCAAAGAGAAACTGGTAATCTGGGTAGATTCAAGGCATCTTTAAGAGAAAATGTCTTGGGGAGCCCCAAGGAACTGATGAAGTTGAGCGTGCCTTCCTTAGTGTATGCTGTGCAGAACAACATGGCTTTCCTGGCTCTCAGCAATCTGGATGCAGCAGTATACCAGGTAGGTGAAGTAGATGATAATGGCAGGCGCAAAATCTTAAAAAATGTTTTCACGGTGAAAAGATGTTTTACTAACCCTTTATCAAACTATTGAATATTTTTCTCTACAGCTGTGTTCATATCAGAAATAATACATTTGTGTCAGAGTCTAATGTAAACCGAGCTGATGAGTTCATTGTTTGTTGGTAGGTGACGTACCAGTTGAAGATTCCTTGTACTGCTCTATGTACCGTTCTAATGTTAAACAGGACGCTCAGCAGGTTACAGTGGATTTCAGTTTTTATGCTGTGTGGAGGAGTCGTCCTCGTACAGTGGAGACCAGCCCAGGCCACAGGCGTCGTGGTAAGAAGCTAAGTGCTCACTGTAGCTAAACGGGAACTTTCCAGAGTCCTGAGCACTCCACACAGTCACACAGAAAAGAATGGAGCATGATTCATAGCCTCTGCCATATAGATACGCCTTTTTCCCCTTAGGGTGATGTTATCGTCAAGGAGAGTAATACCTCCGGGCTTCCTTTCTGAGAAGGAAGAATATGCATAAACTATGTTAGAGATGGATGGTATCTCAAAACTCCATATAATGCAACTCCTTCGTTTTATGGATAACAGAATTGAAGTCCAAAGAGGTGAAGTCACGTACCCAGAGTTGCACAGTTAACAGCTAACCTATAACTCAGTTGTGCCAACTTCCACAGTGTCTGTGTTCAAAACTTCTAGGCCTCTTTTAGACATTTTCTCAGAAATACTGGGCAGAGTTTTCCCCGTCTAATTTTCATGTTCTCCCGCAACTCACAAAATTTTTTATCATTTTGCACATACATCCACTGTCAGCAGTGGGTCTTACAGAATAGTGTTTTTCCCAATAACTGGTAACTACAATAGGGCAAAAAGTGCCTTTACTTCTAACTTTTAGTTGAAGAGTTAAATGTTAAGGTACATACCTGATTTTTTTTTTTTTAATATATTGTATGCTTTAATTGGTTATTTTCCCAAAGAGAAGTAGGAAGTGGAACTACAGTAAAGGACCTGAAGGTCGGGAGCTTCCCTCTGCAACTGCACAATCTTCTTTAACTCTTAGCAGATGAAAGACCATGGTGCTCTTAGGAGCATAAGGCAGCTGGGGATGTATGCAGAGCTTGTGAAAGTAGAAAGCTCCTTTTTAGGTAGTTACTTTCTGGCCTGGTGGAAGAGTTTTTTCCCCCAGAAAGTGAGTTTTAGATTAATATGTATTGTCTTTACATGATGTTTAAACGTGCTCATATTCTCGGTGACATTTCAAAACACTGATCAACTATGCACTGCACGTATAACTCAGATGTAGAACTGTAAAGAATTTGGGAAGTAAGGCAAACACTTAAAAGTTAAATATGAACTTCCAGTAACACCCTACACCTTTAGAAAAGGGTCACCTCACCTAGGTAATATGTGTGAAAAGCTTAGTAAGCTTAGTAAGCAGAGTATTTTATTTTTGGAGCACTCTAGAAGGTTCTTTCATATTTTAAACAGAATGTAGCTTCCTGTAACTGCCTCTCATTGTTCCTTGTTCTTGTCAGAGTAACTCAAATCCCTGCTAACTCCATAGGATGAGCCTTTGAATGTTTGAGAACAATGTTGCATCTCCACCCTCCCTGTCTTTTCTTCTCTCCCACTGAGACAACCTTGTTGTTTCTTTCTATAATATGGCTTCTGGAGACTTTATGATCCCTGGCTCGTGCCCCAGTATTGCCTCGTATTTCTTTTCTAGGTGCATTTATCCGTTCTTTTTCCTCAGTGTGTCCTAAAAGTTCACGCTGTCTCCAGATAATGACTGAGTGGTGTGAGGTGTAGTTCGCTAATTGCCTCCTTTATTCTGAATACCAGAGACTTGTTAAATCAGCATAAGGTTATATTAGGTTTTTTTTTTGGCTGGAGGAGGCTATCCATTATATAACTGATTACACAACCACATGTAGCTGTTTCACATGAATACAGTTTGTCTCAGATGTGTTTTGTGCCGTGGGCTTCTAATGCAAAATGTGTTTATATTTATTAAGCCCATCTTATTAGCTTTGGGTTATTGTTTGAGCCTTTGAGGACTTTCCAGTCCTTATCCATTATTAGCTTTTTCTTTGAATGTTATGCTTTCTACAGATTTCACACCTATGTCTTCTGGGTCTTCTCTGAAAATTTTAGACAGGACAGGACCAGAGAGCTGTGGCTATACCTCTAGACTCTCTTTAGCTTGACTTTTTTTTTCTTTTTCCTTGCTTAAGAAACATTCTCTCTCACAGTTTTTATGGGTCAGGAATTAGAGGGTGCCTGAGCTGGCCTCTTTTAGACATTCTGGCTTGAGGTCTCTCATAAGGTTGCAGTCAAGAGATCAGCTAGGGCTGCAGTCAACTGAAGACTTGCCCAGGCCTGGAGGATCTGTTTCTAGGATGGCTTATTCATATGCCTGGCTAGTTGATATTGGTTGTTGGTCTAGCTTGGTTTTATTCTGTTAATTAGCACTTTGCTATATGAGCACTCACTCAGCTGTGAATAGAACTACTGTTATCCTCACTACATTTCTCTGTCTTGTTCACAAAAATATTATGCAAATCTGTCAGATTTCTTGCTAAACATTATCTCTATGGAATTCCCCTCAGCACTTACACTAGGAATTCTTTCAGTAAGAAAATTTGGTAAGTCGTATTCTTATGGAAGCCACACCATTTTCTTGTGATGACCATTACACTCTTGATGGTTTCTTCAAAAGTTCTCCAAGTCACCTGTTGTAGCATTTCGCTGGTATTCAGTAATAACAACAGCTGCAGTCACGTGTCACACTGGATACTAGCAGTGTTCTAAGCGCTTTACATACATTAATTCACTTATGCTCACAGCCACCATACGAGGCATGTATTTTTATTTCCATTTTCTTATGAAGAAACTGATAGGCAAAGAAGGCTAGCAATGGCTCAACCTTGCTTGGATCCAGGCAGCATGGCTCCAGAGCCTGTGCTCTTGGTGAGTGTACTGGGCCGCCTTACAGGTCTCAAGCCGCTGTTTATAATTTCTGCAGATTTTCTTTCCCTCTGCCTTTTTGAAAATCAGGACAGTATTTGCCCAATGCAAATTTTCTGGCATAGCTTCTATGCCCTATTATTCTTCAGAGATAACAGTGATCAGTACCTTGATTTGCTACTATTCTTGGTCAAGATACTTATGAATTTATTTAGGTAGGTGTTCTCACAACAGCAAACCAATGTCTTGGACTTCGGTTCCCATTCATTCAAAGTCATTATTCACAGAGAAAATGGAAACTAGGTTTGGGTAACTCTTATTTTCTTGCTATCTAACAGCATGTCATCTAGCCGAGGAAGCATACTCTTTTCTTCCTAAACTAAACATACTTTTAAAGGCCTTCTTTAAATTTTGCAAGCCTCCATTTACACTGTTTTCAGTTTTTTGATACTAAAACTCCTGGTCCGTTCCTCTTGGTTTTGTGTACTGTAGTGTTTTTTTTTTTTTTTAGTGTTCCTATGAGAATTCATTGAAGATGCCCTTAATTAGTAACACTGATTTCTTTCTTTACTGTTCATTAGAATTTCATTCTTAAGAAACTCTTACCCTATTAACCCATCTTCCCACTAGCTATGGAATTGTTTTAGGTTTTTGAATTTGATTTATTCAGGACTGGAGCTCAAGTCTCTGAACTATGCTGTTTGGCTATTGCTCATGCTAAAACGACATGGTTGCCATTTTCCTAGGTTTCCATCACTTCCACTTCATCACCCAGCAGTTTCTTTCTTCTTTTGGCTGCATTGGGTCTTTGCTGTGCGTGGGCTTTCTCTAAGTTGCGGCAAGCGGGGTCTACTCTTCCTTGCAATGTGCAGGCTTCTCATTGCGGTAGCTTCTTTTGTTGTGGAGCATGGGCCCTAGGCGTGTGGGCTTCAGTAGTTGTGGTGCACGGGCTTAGTTGCTCCGTGGCATGTGGGATCTTCCTGGACCAGGGATCGAACCCGTGTCCCCTGCATTGGCAGGCGGATTCTTAACCACTGCGCCACCAGGGAAGTCCCACCCAGCAGTTTCTTATCAGTCAGAATTAAGTCCAGAGAAGCAGTGTCTATCACCATTTTTCCTAACTGTAGAGATTAAACTGGCAGAAAAGCAACCAGGAATTTGTCAGACACTATCTTTAGTAGCTTGAGCTTCCAAGCAGTTGTTGAGATAGATGAAATCTCACACCATTATTTTTTCTCCTCTCTATGCTGGCCTTGTAGATTGTATTAGGAAAGCATCCATGTTTATCAGTTGTAGTCTATAGTAGTGGTTCTCAAACTTTAGTGTACATCAGACTCAACGGGAAAGTTAAACAGATTTCTGGGCCCCATCCCCATAGTTTATGATTCAGTAGGTCTGGGGAGAGGCCTGTCAATTTTCATTTCTAACAAGTTCCCAGGTGATGATGCTGCAGTTGGTCCAGGGACCATACTTTGAGAACTGTTAGTCCATAATATCTTCTATTTCTCCTTTTATCTTCATGCAGACATTTTAGAGCAAGCTCTGTCTCTCAGGTACTTAACATCAAGTAATACTGTCCTTCTCTCAGGCTTATTTATTTTGAACAAGGTATGTGCTTGTCATATTACAGACACCTGTCTCAACCCTTTAGTTTCAGTGTTGCCACTGAGATAACATTTATCTCTGAAGAAAGACTGATGAAAGCTCCTGATGGTTAGTTTAGGGAAGAGGAAATACAGTTGAAACAATAGGTTGGGGGCCCATATACCTGCATCTGTTAGCAAAGTATTATGATTATATATATGTGTCAATCTCTCCCATCCATGAACTATTTAAGAATCAAAGCTGTGTATCATCTTCATCTTTATTCATTTAGAATATAAAACAGTATATCTGGTACACAGATGGCATGCTATTAATATTTGATAAAAATTCAGTGAAGTAGGAAATCTTACATGTCATTACTCGATCCTGTAGGTGATAGGGAATAAATTAAACAAGTTAAACTGCTACCATTTCCATGCTTGATCCTATAAGAGCTTGAGTTGTGGTGGCAGAAGTTAAAATGAAGAGGCGGGCTGACTGCACAGTTCTGTGCTTGGGTGCCCATTGTTATTAGGAAGTAGGCACACATTATATCAAGCGTTTACTCTGGCTATAATTTGAGGGACAGGTTTTTAACTTAAGTACTTTGGTTTATCTCTGGGATGGCCTTTTGTTTGGTCCTGTCTTATTCTATAGAATAGCCATGTCTGATATGGCACATACTTTCCGCAGAGCTATAAACAGATTTTTGTATTCATTTGTTTGTTCTCTTGGATGAATTCTGTTTACTAGTCACTAAAAACAACTTCTAAAACATTACTATTGCAGGTGGAACAGAATCCATTATTAGGGTTTGGTGCTATAGCTGTTGCTGTATTGTGCTCAGGATTTGCAGGTAAGTCATAAAAGCATTTTATTCTGTTGTCAAATTTTTTAAAAAACATCAGACTTTAAATAGGGATTGACTTTATCTTGCTTTATCAAACTCAACTTTATTCCTATTAAAGCTTATCTTCTTAATAGCTATATAGTTTTATGTCAGCTGTTTTTCCAGTAAGCATGTGGTAGTGTTTAACACAGTTTAGACCTCAGTCCTTATTCATCTTTGCAGTTATCTAAGAATGTATTTCTGTCACCCTTGACTATCCCCAGTCCAGCCAAGATCCCCAAAATAAATTAAAAAATGGAGGAAGTTAGCCATCAGAAAGCTCAAGTACCTCTTTCTATTTTCCTGGCACTGGCACTATCCTCAGGTTCGATTCTGCTGCTTTAGGTTGTTAGTTACTAGCTCAGTATCTGTATTTCCCTGGTAACCTCAAGTTCTTCCTCTGCTTCAATAGATTAGGAACTATGGAGTAGGGAGGAAAGGGGGGTGATCACTAAGAAAACCTAATACCCAGAAGTAACAGCCAAAAGGGGAGGGAAGAATCAAAATCACTAACATCAAATAAATGTGGAAGTCTGGACTCATATGTATAGGGACAGGCTATCCTTCACTGAATCAAGAAGAGAAAGTATGGATGTTAAGTGCAATGTAAGAAATGTTTTAGAAATGGTTCCAACAGAGAAGAAACTGAAAGTAAAGAGTATATTAGTTATAGCCATACATCTTTATTATTTATCTTTATTTTGCTATATCAAGAGTTAGTACTGGGCTTCCCTGGTGGCGCAGTGGTTGAGAGTCCGCCTGCCGATGCAGGGGACACGGGTTTGTGCCCCGGTCCGGGAAGATCCCACATGCCGCGGAGCGGCTGGGCCCGTGAGCCATGGCTGCTGAGCCTGCATGTCCGGAGCCTGTGCTCCGCAACGGGAGAGGCCACAACAGTGAGAGGCCCGTGTACCGCAAAAAAAAAAAAAGAGTTAGTACTCTATTTTTGACTAAGGAAGTATTTTTCAACTCTGTATCTAGTCATTTGATAAGAGGGGAAAATCTAAATTTAAGAATATACTTAATGATAGCATCATGCTAAACTTTTATTCTTAGGAAACAACAAATTAGAAACAAAAATTGGGTTACCCCCCAAATAATATACTATTTGATTTTTAGCACTGTTTTGGACAGTAAAATGTTTGTGTCCAACAGTCTACAACAGTCTATTTACCATGAGGTGTGTATTCTCAATACACAGTTGAGGAAATGGTACGTGGTTTAATATCCCTCTATGCTTGGAGTAACTGAGAACTGAATAGTTAAATGGTTTCCCAATAGTTAAATGGTTTTCCCAGATAGGAAAATCAAAAATAGAAATAGAAATAGGAATAGCTATTATATGTTTGTTCCCATTCTCTGGCTCTTTCCAACATAGGTTCATCAAAAACAATCTTGGTTTTCATTTGAATTTTTAGTTGATTAGTACTTTAGTGGCAATTCCTAAGCCTCTAATTAAGTGTTTATAACAAAAATCTTTAATGTCCTTGCTAAACATGCATTCATTTTCAGTATAAAACTTACAGCTGTGCTATGTGATTTTGTGGGTGGGGTGGGGACACATGTGCGCTTTTGGAGCACCTAAAAAAGCGTCGGATCATCACCCCCAGAAAAATGCACATAGACACAAAACATTATCTAGTTAGGGAGTTCACAGTCCTTCTAACATTGTGGGTGAACTTGGTCTGTAGACCCCTGCTTTAAAGGAAAATGGCTTCACTCAGCAAGTTCTATTTAAACTTTATTTTGGTTGTGTAACTCAGAAAAAATCCTAAGTGGTGATTATATAGGTTATTTTGCAAAGTTGGGAGTATTCATACTAGGCAGATATTATAGGGGTATGTTTAAGATAATTGACTCTAATAGTATATAGTGTTCCAGCTGACCAAAGCAAGTCTTTTAGTGGCATTAAGTGAGCTTTTGTGATCTATCTCACTGCTATAATAAAGGCGGAAACTATTAATAGTAATATAAGAGTCTCCTGTTAAATGTGGGTTTTTAGAAAGCTCCCTCTTGGTTATTAATTGTAAATGTGCTCTGTAAAAGTACAAATTGGTAATGTTCGGTATGCCATGCGTCACAACCAACATAATAAATCTGCATTTAATTAATGTAAAATGTGTGTTCCACAAATCATATACTTTATTTAGAATAATAACCCCAAAATATAATATAAAGACATTTTAGATTAATTTCTAATATCTATTTCATATTTGCATGCTTAATTTTCTTTCAGGAGTGTATTTTGAAAAAGTTTTAAAGAGTTCTGACACTTCCCTTTGGGTGAGAAACATTCAAATGTATCTATCAGGGATTGTTGTGACATTAGTTGGCGTCTACTTGTCAGATGGAGCTGAAATTAAAGAAAAAGGATTTTTCTATGGTTACACCTATTATGTCTGGCTTGTCATCTGTAAGTATCCAGGAATGAAAGGTTCTGGGCAGATCTCCCCCCCACCCTTTTCCCTCAAGTTAGATGTCCATTTTAAGCCTTTATAGCATTTTGAAATTGTTCCTTTGATACTGTGAATACCAGTCTGAAAATCTAATTTTGGTTTTATTGACTTACTTTTGTGGCAAAGCTATGCCAAAGCAATTTTGCCTTCACAATCAAACGTATCTAATGTATTAGCAATAAATGTGTACAGTTTAGCAGTAGACTACATAGCCCTTTGGGCATCTGAAAAACAATGTTGTTTTGTAGGAACTATGACTCCTAGTACAAAATCTCTCAGATGGCTGCTTCTAAGGAAAATAGTATTTTCCTAGGTAAATTAGTGTGGCATCTCTGGGGGTGAAAACTGCCTCACCATCATAGAATGTTTCATTTATTTGAGTGTTAAGATTTTCTTTCTTTCTGTATGCGAGTTCTTGCTAGTGTTGGAGGCCTCTACACTTCTGTTGTGGTCAAGTACACAGACAACATCATGAAAGGCTTTTCTGCAGCAGCAGCCATTGTCCTTTCTACCATTGCTTCAGTGATGCTGTTTGGATTACAGATAAGTATGTCTTAATTTGTACTGTAAGTTTTTAACATGGAAGAGCTTCTCACTACCTTGGTTCATTTCATCTTTCACTAAATATGGCAGTTGCTTGTAGAGTTTACAGAAATTCCTAGTTTTGTTACAATTTATCCTACAGGCGCAGCAGTTCATAGTTGTGTGGAATGTGTGTCCACAGTACTTAGGTGGTTTAAATGGTTCTAGGGCTGAAAGTGAGCGGGCTACTCAGTAGAAAAGAGTGTTTCTGCAGACAAAGCCTCCCTCGTTAATTTCCGCAGTGGAATTAGAGTAAACTTTTTATTCTGAGGTAAGAACAGAATACTTCTTTCATTTCCCCCTTAGTTTGTACCTTCCTGTTTTAGACTTGGATATAAACTGGTTTTGAAACTACAATCCAAATCTAAATTTTCTCTTTAATAAAGCTATTTGTTTCATTTAATATGTAATTAATACAAAATTCATTACTATAGCTGGCATTCTAGGACCGCCTTTATGCTGGTCCTTCTAATATAATTTTCCTTAGCCGTATCCACCATTAGTTGGCTTCTGAATTATTTAAGCAGTGATATTGGCTTAACATTTCCTGGTGCTTTTATGGTGTGATAATTTTCTTTACTGATCAGTTATACCATAAACTAATACATGAGAAAAATCTGTCAAATATCAACATTAAGTAAAAGAAACAGATCTGGCCTATATTTACAATTGATTTGTTATAAATGCAAAAAGAAGAATACCAACCTTGTAGAAATCTTAGAAAAAAATTTGATAGTTTGGTTCAAATCTTGCTTGTACCATTTATTAGTTGTAAAACCTTGGGGAAGTTACTTAACCCATGTCTCAGTTTCTTTGTCTGTAAAATGGGAATGATAATAACACCTATCTTGTAGGGTTGTTTTAGGCAAAGTGCTTAGAACAGTGCCTGGCACATAGTAGGTAGGTATTCTGTATAAAGCCAACTACTTACCATTTCAGTAACAGATATTTCTAGGCCCTCCTTCTGATGTTTTTCTTACCTGATTTGTGTGAACTTTCACTTGTAGTTCTGATCCATCCTTATGCTCAACAAATCCTATGCCTGTGCTCATAAAGAATATTTGGAAACAGTATAAATGCTTTTTGGTCAGTGTCCTTAGAATGTCTTAGCAATCTTAGTTTCCTATTTAGATTTAATTTACCCTCTTCCCCTTTTTGGAAGGCAAAGCTAGTCTTTTCTAGTTAGGGATGAACTAAAAGTCATAGCTCGATGTTGTTTCTCTGCGTGACATTTTTAAAGCTATTAAGACTGTGCCATTGTACTCCACATAGAATATTGTTTAGTTTTGACATATGGATTTATTTATATGATGCCTATTTGTCAAGTTAGGGCAAGTTGTAATTCAGTTGTGTCCAGATTTTCAGGATTAAGATAAAAAAAAAAGATGTTAGCAGAAAATGGAATTTTACTCATTAAATCACCACCTCATCTCCTATTCAGGAATCTTCAATGGTTTGAATCATTGGTCACCTAACTCTTTGAATTTTGCTCAACTGCCTTTTACTCTACTAACCTTAACTTTCACAGGTTTCTAGTTATCATGGAAAATCCTTATTCCACTGCGTTTTCTTTCAATCAGCATATAGGGATGTTAGTATGTTCTTTGTCAGTGGTCCAGGACAGTCATACTTACGTTCTTGAAAAGTATGTAGTAAGTGATTGTCACTCCCTTGATTTCACTACTTTTTCTGGTGAGTGGGGTGGGGGTGGAGCTAGAATTGATGACCTTTCTAAACCTTACCATCATCATATAGAACACTTAAATTTATTTTCCATGTAATCTGATAGTGTAAACCCACAATTGAAAGTCTTCAGAATTTTAAACTAATCATTTTTACATAGTTTTAAGAACACAAATACAGATTCCTTTTTTTTTTTTCTTTTCAGCACTCACCTTTGCTCTGGGTACTCTTCTTGTATGTGTTTCTATATATCTCTATGGATTACCCAGACAAGACACTACATCCATCCAACAAGGAGAACCAACTTCAAAAGAGAGAGTCAGTGGTGTGTGATTTTTAGCCTCAAAAGAGATTCCTACTAAGATTAAACCATTTGCATTAAACTAGAGCCTTAAGTCAATCCCAGAAGGTAGCTTAAAAAAAACAATCAAAAACTGTGTCGTATAAGCATTGAGAAGAAAGCTATGTGAGCGTATTGCTACAAAGATTTAATGTGGCCTGTTTGGAATCAACCTGTTTTGTTTTAGAATGAAAGATTTTTATTATTGTATATATAGTGTACATATAAAGTATGGAGATGATGTGGTATTAAAAAAAATCATGCAAGGCTACAATATTTAATTAACAAGGTTTGGGATTATGTTAAGGGTTAAAGTGCCAAAGCCATTTCTGTACTAACTGTTCTCTTGTGCAGGTACCAGGGGAGAAGGGTGACCCGTCCTTATTCTCCAGTGCATGTACAGTATTTGGTCCCAGCAGCAGTAAAGACCTAGCTCTTTTCTTACAAAAGAGAGGCAAAAACAAGACAGGCTAGTTCAGAAACAAACTGAATATATAACTTCTCAAACTGAATCTATTTCGTAACTCAGACAATGATTTCTGGGTGGTGACTGAGTACTCCTCTAAAGTGCTGTATTTGTGCCATTCATTGTCTGGATTCACATTTCTTTGCTCTTAGATGATATACTTTTCTTCAAAAAATATTTCTAATGTCACTTTTGTACTTTTTTTTATGAAGTATGTTTAACTGTTGAGCTCAATAATTTGTGAAATTTCAGTGTTTTTTAAAAAAAATTTCTATAATGTTATGGGAAAATTCAGCAATAAACTTAATTTATTTATATGAAACCTGTTTGATCACTATTTGTATTGTAGATATGACCATTAAGATAATGCAAAAACAGGCTTCCCTGGTGGCTCAGTGGTTAAGAATCTGCCTGCCAATGCAGGGGACACGGGTTCGAGCCCTGGTCCGGGAAGATCCCACATGCCGTGGAGCAACTAAGCCCATGCGCCACAGCTGCTGAGCCTGCGTGCCACAACTACTGAAGCCTGTGTCCCTAGAGCCTGTGCTCCACAATAAGAGAAGCCACCGCAATGAGAAGCCTGTGCACTGCAACCGGAGAAAGCCCGCGTACAGCAATGAAGACCCAACACAGCCAAAAATAAAATAAATAAATTAAAAAAAAAGAGACTGCAGAAACATAAACACAAGCCCAAAACATTAAATTTTTTACTTTCTGTATGTTGGAATTTTATCTAGGCTCTTTGGTTGCAAAAAATGGCTATAAACCTCTTCCACCTAGCCTTAAAAAAAAAAAAAGAATTTATAAGGACTGCAGTCAAGGCTGTATGGCTCTAGGTTGCAGGAATTAATGAACAGCCTTTTCAGAGAGCTGCTTTCAGAAAGACTTGGCTTTAACCATCACTGTCCCTTGTGTCATTTTACTCAAGATTCAAATATAAGGAAGGGACTTACCTGGTGGTCCAGTGGGTAAGACTCCATGCTCACAATGCAAGGGGCCCAGGTTCGATCCCTGGTTGGGGAACTAGATCCTGCATGCATGCTGCAACTATGGGTTCACATGTCTCAACTGAAGATCCCACACGCAGCAACTAAGGCCCGTCGCAGCCAAAATAAATAAATAGATATTAAAAACAAACAACCCCCCCCCCCCCCCAAAAAAAAACAAAAACCAAAACCAAATACTAAGCAACCTACCATAGATCTGGGAAGGGGAATGTTTGTTCAAAGAAGGGGAGGGAGATACTGGATGTGTAAAAAATGTCCCAACTTTTTATTCCATGGCTGATTTGTGCTAAGGAAATACTGATGATACTTTAAGTAGAAAATAAACAATCTGGAAGATAATTCACTTAAAATTGGAGTCTTTTCTAGGATTAAGAAGGTATACCATACTTGCCAATATAAAACTATGCTCATTCAACTAAAGAAGCTTTAATTCATGCTAATTTGCTTCTCTATGCATAAAATTAGATTGTCATTGGTATTCAGAAGATTTCTAGTAGCAATAGTTAGAATAAATTATAACAGATCGGAATGGAAATTCTCAGATGAGGATAGCTGTAACCATCAAACAGATCACATCCTACTCATGTTTCCTAAGCAGGTCACACAAAATATACTTACCAATATGCAGATACATGAAACTGAGAAACTCCATTTCAAATGTGGTTTAATGGACTAATTTTTACAAAGATCCTAATTCGATATCTGTAAAGTAATTCCTTGTTATTCAAATGTGTTCAATGCCCCAGTTCACATAGTCTGGTAAGAGTTACCTGTATACGGCCATGAAAAGTATGAGACCTGTTCTCTGGGAGTAGCTGTCAGCTGTATTGACAAAAAAGCTCAATTTTGTTCTCCCGAAATTTATAAAGAACAGTCATAATTCTAAGAAAATTGAGATTTTTCTTCCTCATCAATTTTAAAACATGGAAACATAATCTCAGTTACAAGAAGAGTTTCTGGATGAATGGCACTGTAAGATGTCAAGGCAGAGGAGATTGGATGGCAGAGGAGGAGGAAGTGGAACTCACCTCCCCCAATGAACACATCAAAAATATATCTACATGTGGTGAAAAGATGCTCATCATTGCTAATTATTGGAGAAATGCAAATCAAAACTACAATTAGGTACCACCTCACACCAGAACAGCCATCATCAAAAAGTCTACAAATAACCAGTGCTGGAGAGGGTGTGGAGAAAAGGGAACCCTCTTACACTGTTGGTGGGAATGTAATTGGTGCAGCCACTATGGAGAACAGTATGGAGGTTCCTCAAAAAACTAAAAATAGAATTACCATATGATCCAGCAATCCCACTACTGGGCATATAACCAGACAAAACTATAATTCAAAAAGATATGTTCACGCCTATGTTCACAGCAGCACTATGCACAATAGCCAAGACGTGGAAACAGCCTAAATGTCCATCGACAATGAATGGATTAAGATGTGGAATAAATAAACAACGGACTATTACTCAGCCATAAAAAAAAGAATGAAATAATGCCATTTGCAGCAACGTGGATGGACCTAGAGATTATCATTCTAAGCAAAGTAAGTCAGAAAAAGACAAATACCTTATGATACCTCTTATATGTGGAATCTAAAATATGACACAGATGAACATATCTACGAAACAGAAACAGACTCATACATAGAGAATAGAGTTGTGGTTGCCAAGGTAGGGAAGGAATGGGAGTCTGGGATTAGTAGACGCAAACTGTTATACATAGGATGGATAAACAACAAGGTCCTACTGTATAACACAGGGAACTATATTCAATATCCTGTGATAAACCATAAGTGGAAAAGAATATGAAAAAGAATATGTACAACCAAATCACTGTACAGCAGAAATTAACACAACATTGTAAATCAACTATACTTCAATAAAAAATTTTTAGAAAGTAAAAAAAAAAATCCTATCTGTTTATCTGTCTACATGTGGAACAGTCTCACTGAAAACTAACTGGAAACTGGCAGAAAGACTCCTGTATAGCCAAGGCTGTAAGAAAGATCCACACAGGATCGGGTAGGAAGGGAAGAGAAGTGAGCAGGTTGGGACCTGTGCCCCAGGGAGAGGACTCAGAAAAAGGGAGATCACACGGGTGGAGATCCACATATTGGGCACCCAGCCCTTGGTCTGGCACAGGGAAGGCAGCCCCCTGGCTGGTCAGAGGGTTGGTGGGACAGGAGGGCTGTGGGAAGCCTGGACACTGCTCACGAGGAGTGTGCACGTTTGCGCACAGACACAGTAGGGGACTTTTACTCCCACAGTTGGTGGGAATGTAAATGGGTGCAGCCACTTTGGAAAACAGTATGGAGGCTCCTCAAAAAGCTAAAAATAGAACTACCATATGACCCAGCAATGCCACTCCTGGGTATATATTTGAAGAAAACAAAAACACTAATTCAAAAAGATACATGCATCCCAATGTTCATAGCAGCACTGTTTACAATAGCAAAAATATGGAAGTAACCTGTCCATCAACAGAAGATGTGGTGTATATACATGAATATTAGCCATAAAAAGAATGAAATTTTGCCATTCCCAACAACGTGGATGGGACTAGAGATTATGCTTAGTGAAATAAGTCAGAGAAAGACAAATACTCCGTTATCCCTTATATGTGGAATCTAAGAAATAAAACAAACAAATGAATATAACAAAACAGAAAGACTGACAGCTGTAGAGAACAAACTAGTGGTTACCAGTGGGGAGAGGGAAGGGGGGAGGAGCAAGGTAGGGGTAAGGGCTTAAGAGATACAAACTACTATGTATAAAATAAGGAAGAAAGATACATTGCACAGTACAGGAAAATATAGCCATTGTTTTATAATAACTTTAAATGGAGTTTAATTTATAAAAATATTGAATCACTATGTTGTACACCTGAAACTAATGTAATATTGTAAATCAACTATACTTCAATTAAAAAAGAAAAACAAAAAACCCTCAAGCCAGAGTTTAAACTCTAATCCTTTGTCTCCGGTAGACCACAATGACTTTAAAAAGATTTAACGGGCTTCCCTGGTGGCACAGTGGTTGACAGTCCGCCTGCGGATGCAGGGGACATGGGTTCATGCCCCGGTCTGGGAAGATCCCATATGCCACAGAGTGGCTGGGCCCGTGAGCCATGGCCGCTGAGCCTGCACGTCTGGAGCCTGTGCTCCGCAATGGGAGAGGCCACAACAGTGAGAGGCCCGTGTACCGCAAAAAAAATAAATAAATAAAAAGATTTAACTTAGTTTAACAAAAGTCCATTTAGTACTTATTGACCATGAGGAAACTCAGATGATTTTTTTAAAAGATAAAGATTTAATAAGTTGATAAATCACTTAATAAAATATGGACAATAAAATATAGATTCTGACATAGAATGATAGTTTCAGTTCTATTCTAAATAGCAAGGCATGTAAGAATAGATAACTAGAATTCATTTAGTATTTTAAAAGCAATTTTAATTAGAAATTACATCCTACATACAGGTGTTATTCCAAGAAGTGTCATTCCGTTGGCTAGGACTGAGCGGACAGCTCTGAAAAGATGAAGTCTGGCCTACAAAATAAATTCAAGAATGATTCAAGGTCAATTCAGTAACAGGCTAACTGTGAATGAATAGATAAAATTCCTGTTAGAAGTAATTCTAACTTTCTTCTAATTTAATGTGCAACAGTATCTCCAAGTGCCCTAGGGTTTCCTGTAGGCAAAAGAAAGACAAATTCCTAGGATTTGTTATAGTAAGACTGGTACCCAAGGGCTGTGGAGTGGGAGTAACAGTAACTCCATAAAGTACAGCTTCAGATAAGGGGAGCTAATCACCCTGTCACTTGATGTAGGAAAAGGTGTTTCATGGTCCAGTATGTTGGAAAGTAACAATGATTGTTACAGCCCAATTCTAATTTTTACCTTGAGTGTGTAAGTACACTTCTGTAGGTGAACAACAGGATGCTATTTTAGAAACACTGACAAGACTGACTCAGTAATAAGTCTGAGGATGCTAGAGATTACACAGCAAAACTCGACATAACATACCCCGGCCACTTCAGGAGGACTGTTTTTTATGTGTAGTGTTTTGTGTGCCACCGCTGCAAGATGACTGAAACAGGAAGAGAATAATCATGATTAGGACCAGCTAATTTCCTGTGTAACATATAAGCTTGATATCTAATCTTACTCCCTCAACTTAGAGAAATCAAAGCCGAGAGCCACTAAAGGATATTTCCAAAGTTGGGAAGTTGAGGCTGAATTCACTGCTTTTCAATAACTGGCAAAGTGAAACACAGTAAACTCGGTTTTAGATTTTTGGTCCTGGTT